CCCTCCCCCGCCCCCTCCCCTCACCTCCTTCACTTCCTTTTGCTCCAGCCAGTGACCAGTCATGACTTGGAACGGTACTGCGGGTGCCGATGGCTGGCGTGTGGGCGGTGCTGTACCTGTGTCTCCCCCTCTTCCTCCTCCTCCTTCTGCTGCTGCTGTTGTGGTCGGCTCTGTAGCTTCTGCTGGCGCAGCTGCTGCCGAGGCAGCTGCCTGGTCGGTCTCCGCCTGGCCCGCTCAGCCACCACAAGCCGCACCTGCCACCCAAGCGTACTCGCCGCACCACTCGCCGGCCGATGCCCTACTGCTGCCGCTGAGCGCTGTCGCGGAAGCAAGACGGGCTGGCACCAATCCTGCCTCGCCGCACGGCCGACGCTCATCGCGGCGGTCCAAGGGACGATCCAAGTCGCGGCGGCGGAGCACAGGTACTGGCGGGGCCCGTGGGGCGAGCCGCACTGCGGCAAAGGGCCGCGCATCGGCATCCAAGTCGCCTATGGCCGCCGCTCACCTCCATTCACCGCACTCGTCCAACTACACCACCCATAACTCTGCCCCGCAGCAGCAACCGCAGCACGAGCAGCGGAGAGCGCGGTCGCTCGGCCCAAGATCATCGGTCCGTAGCCCCAGCTCCGGCCGACCGCACGCGAGCAGCGGCAAGGCTGCGGTCACGGCGCCGCCGGCCATCCGAGCAGATGCCACCGCTGAGGAGCTCCGGCTCCGGCTGCGCAACGTCATGATGAAGTGCCAGACCGCCGAGGCCCGCCGCGAGGCTGCAGAGGCCGGGCGTGCGCAGGTTGTGGCCCGTGTTAAGCTCCTCGAGCTGGAACTGGGCGAGACGCGCCGCCGGGCTGTCCGGGGCGGAATCAGCGTGAGCGACGAAGAGGCCGCCGCTGCAGTCGCTGCCGAGCAGGCTGCCGAGCTGACAGAGCTGCATCACGCTCTAGAGCGCGCCGAGTCGCAGATGGCTCACATGCAGACCGAGCTAGAGGCAACTCGCGAGGCTGCCGCAGCCATGGAAGTCTCGCTTGCAGCCGCTCGCGCCGAAACCGCCGCAGAGCGCAAGGCCAAGGCCGAGCTGGCAGCCCAGCTGAGCGAGGCACAGGAGGCACAAAAGGCCATTGCAGAAGCCCATGCCTGGCACGGCAATCGCATGGTTGATCAGCTCGAGTCTGCCGGAACTGAAGTTGCCCGCCTCACCACAGAGGTTACTGTTCTCCGTGCTGCTACCGAGGCTGCAGCCAAGAAGGCCAAGGTCGAATCTGCGGCTGCCGATGAGGCTCGCAACCATGTCACTCTGCTCGAAACCGAGCTTCAGCACGCCCACATCGCCGCCGACCGTCTCCGTAGCGAGCTCACCGACGAGCGCATTTCTGTCGATCGCCTCCGCCGCGAGGTGCTCGAGGCCAACGAGCGCATCCAGGCGCTCACCTCTGACATCCGGCTCCGCGAAGACGAGGCCTACCACCGGCCGCAGCAGCAGCAGCAGGATCCGCTCGAGTATGAGTCCGAGTCCGACGGAGGCGATGAAGACGACGCCGCCGGCGACGGTGACAATGCCGGCTCCGGCGAAGCCGAGGCCCCGGCCGCCACGCGGGGGGCAACATCCAGGGCCGAGTCGACGCCCTCTTGGCCGAGCTGCATCATTTGGAAGCGCTTCATGCAGCGGCGCAGCAAGATCAAGGCGAGGCCAACGAGCACGACGGGAGCCCAGCACCGCCAAGCAGAGAACAGGCGAACGGGTCGGGCTGGTCGTCCGGGGCCGAAGACGAGCCGGCGTCGCCGGTCGAGTTGCCGCCGCGGGCAGCTTCGCCGCCGCCGCCCGCTCCGCGAGCGCCGCGAGCCACACAGGGCGCTGCCGCCGGCGACCACCAGTCGACAGCGGCTCGTGTTGCGGCGGCGCGGCGGGCGGCCATGCGCGCGATGCCCGGGCGGATGGCTCCACGAGACAAGCCCAAGCCGCGGCGGATACCACCACGGGCGGCTCACGCGGGGCGTAGTGGCACTGGCGAACGGCCGACGCCGGTCGCCCGGGCACGGCCGAGGTTCCCCGGTGTGCTGCAGTCATTTGACACGGCGTCGGCGCAACTCTCGCTCTCTGACTGCGACATCGGGTCCGACGAGCTTGCCGCCCATGGCGAGGAGGACGATCTCAACGACGAGAGCAACGGAACAGCTGTCGACCGCGACGCGTTCACATCGAGCGACTCTGTGCAGCCGACGCTGGTGCCAACCCGCTACAGGGCTGCAGTTCACCAACTGCCTGCCAAGGATCGCGGACTTACGCAGACGTTTCCAGCGCCGGCCGATGACGAGGAGTTTATGGCGTACGACACGGCGCTGGCAGCGGCGCAGACCCGCGAGCGGCCAGTTATCAATTCGGGCTCGTCGTTGAGCTCGGGCTCCAGCTCGGGCTCTTGCTCAGGTGCTGGCGGCGGCGGTAACCCGATGTACGATTACTAGCCGAGTTCGAGGTCACTAGCGGAATGAGGCATGCGCCTTCCAGAAAGCCACCGATGCAGCGTACTTTCGGGATCGAGCGCAACGCCCGAGCCGCCCGACTCTGTACCGAGCGCATTGCGCATCATGGTGATGGGGTTCATGGGGATCTCGTAGTTCACAGCCTGGCCCTTGATGGAGATGATGCCCCAGTCGTACGAGTCTGCCGGCGGAGGCGGGTCACCGGATGGCATGGCCTCGTGCTCCTTGGCGATCTGGGCCGAGGAATAGAGGATGATGTCAAGAAAGTCGGCCTTGGGCACGGTGATGGCGTCTGCCGGGAACCAGCGGTCCAGGACGGGGAGCTCCTCGGGCGGCGGGCGAGGTAGCCTGAGCGGAGCAGGTGCTCGTTGTCGTCTGTGATGGGGACGGCACCGACGGTGGCCGAGGTAAAGTTGGGCATAAAGATGTGCTTGCAGAACTCGGCATAGCCATCAACAAGCACAGGCTCTGCAGCAAAATGGTCGATGACCGCCGCCACAAAGGCCTCCTTGTCCACCCCGGTCAGCCGCGTCCCCGAGTACTCGGCGTTGTCAAACTGGCGAAAGGCAAACGGGTCGAGCCGGAACCGCAGGCCACCGGCGCTCCGAATGCCCGACGCCAGTGCTGCTGCAGACACAGACGCAGGCGCAGACATGATGTACAATAATACCTTCCGTGACTGTGAGAATGAACCTGCTTCTGTTGGAGTGTAATGTGGGTAGCTGCGCCTGTTTGTCTCTCCGCACGCCCCGGACCGCCCCTCCCCCCTGAGTCTGACCGCCCCTCTGTTGAACCCGAATCGACGGAATCGGAACGAACCCGATGGAAGCGGCCGGGAAAGCGAGGGGCTCTGTGGCTATTCGTCAAGGGCCAGGGGAGAAGGGCCTGATCAAAGCATGGCATGACATAACCTGATCAAAACATGACATAGCATGACGTGGCATGGCCTGATCAGGGCATGGCATGGCATGGCGTGGCATGAGGGCATGGCATGACATGAGGAGATGACACGGCAGCAGTGCACCGCATCCATTTACCGCATCTGAGCCTGATATGAGCGCTGGATCAAGTCACAACATCAAAGGGCACACACTGTCACAGCTCGGTTGGTGGCAGTTTAGACGGTCTCCATGTCGCGGAGGCGGTTGCAGTACTCGATGACGCCGTCGACAGCAGAATCAACGTTGATGTTCACGTCCCAGGTCCGCACACCATCGTCGATCCACGCATCCGTCAGCCGAGGCCAACTGCTCTCTCGTGGACAAGGCCATACCCATGGCAAGACGTGATGTGAGCGAGCGGTTCATGCGCGCTCGAGGACAGCACCTGTTTGTGGCTCATGCACTCGAGAGCCAAGTCGCGGCTCTGCTCACCGGGCCGCGGTCACCGCGAGCACAGGCCGATGTCCGCCAACCATGCGGCTCGTGCGGATCACAAGCTGAAGGAGGCTCTGGAGGACGTGCTGCTGGCAGCGGTGGACTGAGGCATCTGGGCAAGATTGGCCGGTTTGTGCGGAGCACGACAAGCAAGCTGAGTCAACGGATGGCGGTCCACGGCTGCGATCTGTGCGGCTGCAGGCTCTGCGCCTCGGTTGCCTGCTGCGCCCGAGTTGATCTTGCTGATCCGGCCTTTGCGCTCGTCGCGACAGGGGACGGTGACGCAAGCAGGGATGCTAACGCCGAGGTTGAAGACGAGTGGGAGATGGTTCACGCGCCCGGTGTCATCGGAGTGTGCGCCACCTGCCGCGCCGGCCTGGCACGCGTGGAAAGCCGGGCGGTGCGGCGGGCGGCGGCCCGGAAAGCTGCGCGCGATACAGAGCGTCTGCGCGAGCTCAATGCCACTCTACGCGATGCTCGCGCATTTGTGGAGAGCCGAGTGGGCGAGTATCTGGCGCTCGTGGACGAGCTCGACGAGCTTCCGGTGTTTGTGGGCGACAGCGCGGCAAGGACAGCGGCGGCGGCGCACGGAACAGCGACGTCCGAGGCGGCGCTGGCGCTGCAGAGCCAGATCTCGACAGTACTCAAGGGCATGTCCGAAGGCATTGGACTTGTTAAGAGTCACGCGGCCGAGCTGGCGGCAACGCGTGGCGGCGCCGTGGTGCGAACGGCGCGCAAGATGAGCTTCGCCTACGCCGAGTTTCTCCACGAGCGGCTGCCGACGTTCCGGCGGGCGGTGAAGCGGCTGACGGCTGCTGAGCGATCGGTGTCATCGGTGGTGTACATGATGCTCAAGCGAACACTGGTTGAAGGCCAGGAGTATCCGCTGTTTGTGCGCGAGCTTGGCGCCGCGTTTGTCGACACGCTCAAGGACTTACTGCGCGAGATGCGGCGGACGGTGCAGGTGACCGGCGAGTCGTGGCCAGACCATCTGGCAGCCATGGAGACCATGGTCGCCAGGTGGGATCCGCCGCTGCTGGCAACTCGAGCGTCGACAGTGAGTCTCGTTGCGGCGATGCAAGCAGGCGGCGCGGACAATACCGTCGACGCCGACTTGGCTGGAGACGACGATGCTGCGGCGTCAAGCGAGCCTTGCAGCGATGACGACGACTTTCTTGACGAGCTTGATCGCATGCTGGACGAGATGGATGCTCGCGCGGTAGAGCACTCTGCTGAAATGGGCCACGGTGCTGCGCCTGCCGTCAACAACGACGACGACTGCCTAGAGCAGCTGTGGGTGCTGGTGCGGGTAGAGGAGGTGGTCGGATCATCCGCGGCGCAGCTGCGAAGCAAGGTCGGGAGCGCGCGACTGCCGCGGGCACAGCGCGGGCTGGCGAATCTGCACGAGCTTGTCATTGCGGCAGGCTTGAGTGTCGACGCTGATGCCTGGGCGGCGCTGCGCGAGGCGGCGGCGGCAGCGCGGGAAACGCGACGACGCGGCGAGGACGTGGTCGACTCGGACGGGTTTGTGCTTGTGTAAAGTGTAAAGAGAGAGGGCTACAACAGTTTATGGTGCATCATCACTCGGGACAAGAGTCGGGGAGCGCTCAGTCCTCGAGCGGCGGCGGGCCATCGTCTTCGTCGAGGCCGGGGATGCCACCGTCGTCCGAGTCGTCGTCCGAGTCGGCGGGGCCGCCCATGCCGGGCATGCCGCCCATGCCGCCCATGCCAGGCATGCCAGGCATGCCAGGCATGCCGCCGGCACCGCCGCCCATGGAGGCCATCAGTGACTGCAGGTCCATGCCGCCGGGCATGCCGCCGCCCATGCCGCCGCCCATGCCAAAGTCGCCAAGGCCGGCGTCGTCAGCCTCGTCCTCCTCATCCGAGTCGACGTACTTGGACCAGTCGGTGTTGAGCCACTGAGCCTTGAGCTTGTTCTTGGTCAGACGCGGCCAGTGCGAGCCCTCCTCCTTGCGCATAAGAAGGAACTCGACCTGACGCGGGCGGACAACAAACGAGGACTTCTCGGCATCGATAGCCTCAAAGAACTCAATGTCAGCCTTGTACGACTGCGAGTCGGTCCCGGCCACAGCCTCAAACTCGAGCTTTTCGTCAGTCAGCGAGATCTTCTCATCCTTGACGTCCTGCAGAGCAATGGTGAGGAAGACGCGGTCCTTGCGCTGAGCCCACTTGATGGGAGCAAAGTTGTCCGTGCTGTCCACACACACACACACAGTTACCAGACCCAACCCCAACCCCCCGCAAATACACCACTCTCGTGAGTCTTCCCCCAACCCATCCATACACTCCATGTACTTGCCGCGGCTGCCAATTCGACCTGAGACCAATGCGACCACCACCACGACCTGCCGCGCCACCACGACACGACCTGCCGCGCCGCCACCACGTCCGTCCAAAGGGGGGGGGGGGGGGGGG